CACACACACACACACACACACACACACACACACACACACGCAAGATCACTCGAACCCCACTAAAGCACGCACCTGCACTCCCTGGAGACCCGTTGACATAGTATCAATTGCGCACTGCGTCGATGCGCCTTGTCGTCGAACAAGACAGCCTACAGCTCGCCGCTCTTTCTACGACTGAGGAACGCCCCGATTGCAAACAAAACGAGCCTGGTAAAGAGGATCCAGCAAGCGACAGAGCCGACTCTGATAGGTCGGAACGGATGAGTCACAAGTGCTAAGCTGCCGCTGATTTGGCCTCCTCAGCCCTTGCATTCACCTCGCTTGCTCTGTCTCCCTCCGTTCACGTTTCGATATCGACCGTCGATCCCATCGGAGACCGATAGGATCGATCGGATCAAATCTATTTTAAGATCCAGCAAATCACCTCGCGCCCCTGCTCGAGCTCACCAGCGCTCACCAGCTTTCCTTCTGCGCTCGCGTTGACGTCATCTCTCAACGGGCGTTGCAATCCTCCAGCAGCACGAGGAATCACCATCGGCAGTTTCCCTGTTCTCGTTTAATTGACCGAAGACTGGACGCCGGGTTTCCCTTATTAGTATTATTAACAAGACTGTACACGATAGCTTGGAACTCTTACCGGTAGTCTGACCTCGTGCATTCATTCATTCATTCATTCATTCATTTATTGATTCATTCATTCATTCATCAGGCTGTACGTATCTCCCGCAGATTCGGATACCCCCTGCGCACGTACTGTTCCCGCCAAAGCAACATGAGCACCCGCCCAATTTAAGCAAAGTACTAAGCGGAGGAAGAGACGGCAACGAGAATTCCTTCGGTAGCGGCGAATAAGTAAGGGCGGTCAAGGCTGCTTTCCTTTTTAGGTCATTACTGCTTTCCTTTCCAGAGGATTGCGTCTGCCTTTTTTCCTTTTGGAGGGGAGGAATTGCTACTGTTTTTTTTTTCCCCCTCACAATTCAATTTCATTACTCAAATCATCCACCTTAGCTTACGGGCTGAGAGCCTGCAGCTCTTTCCTACACACCCAGCAGCTCGTTGGCTGCTGTAGTTGTCTACACACTACAGACTACCCTACCTAATTCCTACAGATGGTGCAATTTTACCTGTACTGTACAACTACCGTAGCAAAATCCCACGGAGTTCACTACCCTATATAATATACCAAAGACAACACACACACAGGAGGAGCCCACAAAATCCGATAACAAAAACAAGCAATGAGACTACGTTTTTTTCTTCTTTTTTTTATAAAGAAGACCAATCTTTATTAAAATCCAAGCCCGGAAGCGGGCCCGGCATCCCTTACAAAAACTTGCCGCAGCCCTGAGCTTAGCGAGGCTCTCCGGCCAGGCCGAGCTCATGCCACCACTGTGTCAAGGGCGAAAGTCGTCCTCTTGGTCTCTTCTACTGTATTCTAACTTTGGTACCAATTCCTATAATTGCCTGAACTATCCTAATATGAGATTCATGAACAATCCTAAAACTCCAATCAACAAAAACACCAAACCTAACTCACCCTATGCCCTATCCAGTAGAAAACGAAAACACAAATCCAAAAAAGAATAGGTCCTATTCAACATGGCTACGATCCCTACGTCCAGACGGTCTGGATTCAGTCGGGACTCCAGACGTCCGGTCTGGAAGGTCCGGATCTGCCAAATTTTGAGGAAAAAAAAAGAAAAAAACGGGTCCAGGACCCTTCCCCATTGAGGAGCCAAGCCCCCAAAATTTGTTTTGGGTTTTTTTCAGGCCCGTTTATGCTTTTTTGGGGGGTCCGGACATGCTCTCTCTCTATAATAATTTATTAGACAACCCCAATTTTTTAATTATTAATAATTCATTACCTTTTATTAGTTCTTAAAGTCCTTTTGTAAGCATTTTTATAGTTTTTGACTTTTAACTCAAGTTTGGCTAGCAATTCTGACACGACACACACACACACGCAACTTCAAAACCACGGCGCAGCAAAAGGAATTACAACTGAGCTCCGTACTTGACAAAGCATCGATCGTAGCTCTCTCACACACACACACACATAACTCCAAAGCCACAGCGCAGCAAAAGGAATTACAATTGAGCTCTGTACTTGACAAAGCATCAATCGTAGTTAGCGTGACATCATCACGCAACCAATCTCCCTACCGATAGTCAAAACCTAACTAACAAAACTAGTGCATGAAAAGAGCAACCACCAACGATAAAAACTAAAATCGGGCATCAAATTGTAGAATGAATAAACTTGTCACCACGACTGGAAGTCATTTATTGGCAATCAGGAGGAAGCTTGATCAAACAATCAGTCGTCCCGCTCAGCAACCAGAACCGCCACTTATCACCTCCAACACTCCGCATGTCGCGACTGTCATGTTGGCGTTCTCCTCCAGTCAAGCCTCCGTGTCTAAAACCAGAGGATTCACCTGATCGGTTACAATTCTGGTATAAGGCAGCGACCAGGATCTTGCCCGTCAGTTATCCCCACTTCGAGCTCCATCCATTCATTAACTGAACAGGATTCCCGGCTAATGCCGACCGAGACCGGCCATAGCCAGGGGCTTGACCCTGTGAAGCGTACACCCCACCTGCGCCCACACGCCCTACACCACATGTCGCCCCTGCCATGCTGCCAGCAAGTTCTGGCGCGCGACCATAGCCGAGGGCTTGACCCTGCGAAGCGTACACCCCACCTGCGCCCACACGCCCTACACCACATGTCGCCCCTGCCATGCTGCCAGCAAGTTCTGGCACGCGAAGCCAAACACTCGCTGACCACGCTGTGCGATCCCCTGCTGCCCTGTCGCCGCCAGGCGACGCGTTAGCGCTGCATTACCGCATGGCCTCTAGACAAGTATAAGCAATGAGACTACTGTGAACGCTGCTAGAATATAATCCTAACTGGAATTGTTATTGCTTTTTTTCTTTTTTTCTTTTGTTTTTTTTTCTTTTTAAGGTCAATCAATTCAATTGCCTGTCAAATCTGGACAGGATGGCCTTTCAGGCCCTTTTTTATTTATCATTTAGTATTACGGGGAACCCCATAGCAACCAGGCCGAGAGAGCCGAGTTCAAGCCTCCAACGAGGGACAACACCCTGGGCTTAACAAAAAAAAAAAAAAAAAGCCTCCAACGAGGGAACATGCAGGGGCTCCACCCAACCTGCAGGTGGGCGACACCCGCCAGGTGTCAGCCAGTAGCATCCGGACCAACGGCCTATCTCTAGGTAGCAGGTACTGACCTTGCTCAGGAGGGTAGATGAGGCAATGGGGATTGAACCGCAGACCTCATGATTGCCACTTGCATGCCTTACCAACTGAGCTGCCACTGGATACTTCTTTCCATTATAATAATCAATGGGAAAAAAAAGGAGGCGGCGAGTTCCTCACAAACAAACTGGAAAGACTCGAGAGTAAAGACCATGTGCTACTGGGACCATTACCCAGCTTCGGTTGTGTGGGACTAGCCCACAACAAGAGGGAAACAGCCACGTGGCGCCCTACCCCACAACAGTCAGGGGACCTCCCTGTCTCAATTGAAAAACAATCACACCAAAAGGAAAAAGGAAAGCACAAAAGAACACCCAAAAAGGAAATAAGAGAGGAATCCACGGTAAAAATCTCATTTGATGGATTGGGACTCTGTGTCCCACTTTGCTTCTGCCTCCTACTGCGGATCCCAACCGAGTGCCCTGGGGCCTTGTCCCATTAGCATTGAGTTTTCAACCACGTGTGGCATGTGGAACACAGCCCTGCCTCCGATCTGTTGGGGCGAGGTCCCACTAGCAACGGGATAGGATAGAAACGAGTTTGTGGGGCAGTTGAGTGACCCAAATCCTGCCATGCAGTACTCGTGATCCCACGGTCAGTACTTTACATGTATAACCTGAAAAAGTAAGGAGATCTTTGTTCCCCTACTCCTCTTCAACACTGGGCATGCCCGTGCAAAGAAAGCTTCCCGCCAGAATCTTTTCAATCAGTTGGGGGTGTGGCCAACCCCAAACGAGGTTGGGGTCGGCCTTAGCCCACTGGATAGAAGATTTTCAGCATTTTACTTGCTGTTGTGCAATTATCTCATTGGGTGGAACCCTCCTTCAATCACGGAGTATAGGGAGGGTGTCAGGATCACTGCTGACAGAAGTCGATTTTATTCCAAAAAAATATGGCGGTTACTTTGTTCACTGTTTTTGCAACCACCACCATCAGATCATTTGTGATCTGATGGCTGGGAAGCACTCTGCCGTGATTTCCGGTGGGAGGTCTCTGTTTCTTTTCTTTTTGGCCTTTTGCCTGTTTTCTCAGCCCAGAAATTCGTAATGAACGTGTCTGGCCGCTGCCACTCAGTGTCACACTGGATCGGCCACACTCCTATTCGACCACTAATGCAACCTCGCCCTTGGAAATCCATAGCTCGAGAGATATTCAGCACGAGCCTGTTAGATTTGATGTATTATAATTCATTTTCCAGATTTTTTGTTCCCTTGAAATCCATTTTTTCGTATGCTTTGACCGGTTTGGTTTGGGTGGGGAATGCAATTTCCGTGGACCTTGCTGAACCCTGTGCCTTTTTTTTTTCCCCCCTTTTTGCTGTTGAGCCATCATTACCTCCTCGTGGGAGGACAGTCTGACAGAGAGTATTGATGATGTCTTTGGCCCTGTAGTCTCAGACTGGTTTCCTTTATTTGGGCGGTGAATGTACTGAGCCAGGAATACTTTTCACTTTCGTTCCACCTCATACTGAAATCCCAGTCTCAAAGTGTATGGAGAGTTTCACGCAGGGATATTTTGCTTCTCCTTTTCACCTTTTGGAAAATATGGTAAGAACCTTTCAGCAGCCTTGTTCCTCCTTTTTCGCATTTGTTTTGAATTTTCAATTCACAATAACTGTGTCACACCATTGAGTTAGGGTCTCGTTAGACACTCCTAAAAGTGCCTGTTTTTGTGTCTTGGTTGCACGCAATCCTAAATCCAATTTTGAGATCGAAAATGTGAAAACGGCGTTAGGACAAGTCCTAAAGGATTTAGGATTCCGCAGGCAAAATCGTCCTAAATTTTCCAGTAGCCCCCGACCTACTGAAAAATTTAGGATTCCCGCGTTTCACGGACTCGTTGCGTCGCGCGCATGGCACCGTCGACACGGACTTGCTGCTGCAGAAGCGGTCCGTCGGGTCAGTGGTCGGACATCAAAGGTTTTCTGTGGGTCGACGCGGGCAACGGCCACGAACTGTAGCCGTTGGCCGGGACTGGACGGACATTGGCAGGAATGGATGGACATTGGCGACACGGCTGCGTATACGCATATGAAAACCGGCCTCGGGAGACCTTTTAGGACGAATCCTAAAAGATGATTTTTGGGATTGCGTGTAACGACGCCGCACGAAATCTTAAAAACCCTTTTGGACTCGTCCTGAAAATTTTAGGATTCTTTTAGGAGTGTCTAACGAGACCCTTAGCTTAACTCTACGGTGGCTACCATTAGTGGGACAAGGCCAGGGCTTTTTTTTTTTTTTTTTTGAATTTGTAATTCACAATAACTGTGTCACACCATTCAGCTAGCTCAACTCTACAGTGCCGTTAGTGGGATAAGGCCCCAGGGGCCTTGTTCCACTATCAAAGTATTCTACGATGTGTGACAACATTTTTTCGTTTTTTAATGGTCTTTAAGTGGTTTTAAAATGAATCAAACTAAATGATTTTTTTTTTTTTTTTTTTTTGAGAAGTTATCGCTTTATATTTCAAAACAAAAGTGGTCAAGGCCGGGGACCTCACAATTCTACCTGGTATTGCCAAGGAAAAGAACCTGCTGGAAACCAGGTCCAGCGTCCCAAGACCTCTCAGCCTCAAAAGGAAGAAAAACTCCTTTAAATAGCCTTGAAGCACAGAAAAGGTGGTTGAACTAATCATAGCATAAGCTCTCCACTCCTTCAACCTATGGTGTAATATCCTTGCTGCAGAGGAAAACGCCGGCATGTTTCTAGGATCGAAACACTATTGGCGAGGAACTACGAACTCTAATCTGCAAATCTCGAAAATGCACAGGGCAATTCACGAAAGTTATACAGTTTAACTCTAAAATTATTTCCGAGGGCAAACTAAATTCTCAGATACAATTCAATTCTAAATTTTTTAGCGTATTAATATTGTCAGGAGAACATTGGTGATTAAAAACAGCCAAAAAATCTAGTAACTCCGAGATACTCAGTTGCCTAAATCGGCAGTGTTACTTCTCCCTAGGAACCAAAGAACGGGAAAACCCTAAAGACTAGAACTAGCCTATAGGCTTAATAACTGGTAACTAAAAGGAAGAATAAGCATTAGGGTTACCCTCTTATCATCGCTGTCCAAAACACTGTAAAGAGCCTTTGTTGCCTAGACGGGTTCAGTAGGTTCATTCGGACGAGTAAAAAAAAGATGAATGAACTGTGTCGAGGAATAGTCGAAATGCATGTGCAGTATAAGGGGCTCATTAGACACTCCTCAGGCGCTTAAATCCCCCGAGGAAAATTTCGTTCCACCTATCATCGATTCATCGGGGATGAAAACCAAAAACAAATGTGAAAATATTTCCTTGGGGAGTCATTTGGTGGCATCCCCCATTTTGTGGTATCCCCCAAGGGACCTCCTGAGGTCTCTTGGAGGTTAAGGATCCGTGATAATCGGAGTTATTGGGTTGCATTTCCCACGAGACCTCCTGAGGTCCCTTGGCGGTCAAGGATCCGCGATAATCGGAGCGGCGAGGGAACCTGTCGTTGGCATGAATTTTTTGTCGGTTGGTCCAAGTTCCTACCGGGAAGCGCACAGACATCTTGGGTCTTCAACGTTCGGCTTCTAGGAACCTTACGCCAACGGTAACCATTGGTGGCCGGCCGGCCCCCGCGGACGTCGTCGACCAGTGTTCTCCATCGCAGTGTGTGCCGCCAAAAACAGAAAGAGGTCGAACGGTCGGCAAATTTGAATACTTCAGCCGACCCCACTTGCTCCGATCGTCCACTGTATTCCGCGACGAAAAATGTTACAAGTCGTTTATCCCATGCCGCGGTCTGCCGTTTGCAGCCCTCTTCGTCGCCGTTTGCTAGAGGTGTACCTTCATCGTCTAGCTACTGCCCTTCCCCACTTGCCTTTCATGACCGACGTCTTTCGAAGGTTGCCGCTGCTGCTCCTGGTCATCCTTTTGCTGTCCTTGTCGTCTTCTTCCATGTCTGCATCCTCGGCAGGGTGCCTGGACGTACACGTAAGAGGTGGTCTGCGAAGAATGACGTTGACATGGACGGGCGGCAGGCGAAGAGCAGGTCTTCAGTGGACCACTCCAGAAGCCACCGCGCAGGCCACGTCCCGGCTCGTAGTGCAAGGGCGTACGACCCGTTTGAGTGCGTGTGTCGTATGTTGTCCTCTACCGTCTTCTCCCTTCATCATCGCCGTTCGCTGAACCTTCACCGTCGTCATAGAATTACGGGCCTATCGTACGTGTTGTTGATGGCCGACCTTCATTGAAGGTTGCCACTGCTGCTCCTAGTCACAATTTTGCTTGTCGTGGTCCTCCTGTTCCACATATGCTTCCTCTATCGTTGATGGCCGACCTCTATCAAAGGCCTCCAGCAGAGAAGACGAGAGATCGACAACGACTGCAGTCGACATCGACATCGGCAGCGCATCCCGCGGGCGTTCGTCCACACTGAATGCAATCGCCACCGACCGGGAGATACATGGCGACATACGCAGCTTCTCCCAGAAGTACTCCTTCGCCACATCATCGCATTGCCTGAGATCCTCCCACGCCCTCCACGTCCTCCTTTTCATCCACCACCTCGGCGTCGCTCGTGGAAGAACATTGCAACCCATGGTGCAACAAACCTGAACTGCAGCCTCGGTGATGGCCACGGTATCCAGCCCTTCAACTGGGACTTGATGAAGCGTTTTCCTCCTCCGTGCACGGATCTGCTCTCTCATTCTGCCCAATGCCCTCTCCTGCTGACAACGAAAGAGCACAGCTGTCACAGCCGCCGCCACGGCCGTCTTCTCGACTGTTGTCAACTTTGCACGTTCGTCGTCACTGTCGCCATCCATCTGCACGTGCGTTGCAATGCTCATGAACCACAAAAATACAACAGCCTACCAACTCCCCACGACCACGGTAACCTCAGCGCCAAGTCCCCGACGACGTTCCCTGCGTGTGCTCGACTCAACACATAGGCGTGGTGGCATGCAGAGGCGATGGTGATGGACCTTCGTGGGGTGCTCACAAATTCGTGACGACGTACGAGGACTCCACTGCGCCGCTGCAAATGCCCGTTTCCACCATCGCAGATATGGACGCCACCTGCCCCGCGTCGCCATCGTGACGTTCAGCACCCAATTTGAAATTTGATTTTCGAACAGGGAGGTCCATTGCTTTTTAAGGTTTTTTTTTTTTTTTTCCGGTCGCCGCGCCGTTCAAAATATCCCACCTTCGGCAGCTGGACCACACTGTAGCAAGACGGACATGACCCAATGGACCAAGGGATTGTCCCCCCCACGGCTGACTATAATATTATGAAAATGACCGCCGGCGGCTGAAAGGAATCATCCTTGGGCGACCACCCCAAGGATAGGTGGAACGATGGCGGCAATTTCCTTCAAACCCCCCAAGGAAACTTCCTTTGGCCCCGAGGACGCCCCAAGGAGTGATTTTTTTTATTTATTTATTAAAACACCCCCACTGGTGATAGTGGTGCTGATAAGAGCAGACACCGCTACCACCCTGAGGAGTGTCTAACGAGCCCCTTATCCTGACGTTGCCAGCCCCTATGTCTCGACTGCAATAAAACCGCCATGTCTGACGGAACGATAGTAACTGGCCACAATTATTATTTTTTGGTAGTATGTCAACGCGTAAACAGTAACACGCGAAGTCTCGAAAACGCCCCCCCCCCCTCCAACAATCTGGAAATCCAGACCAATGGCAATGTTCAATATCAATAAAAAATTCCATTACTGGCCACCACTGTATACTGCATCAGGTGGGCCCGTAGATGCAAAATGAGATGTGCGATTCGTGTGTGCCACCCCCAGCCGCACGTGATCCAAAACGTCAACGACGAACTTGAAGTAGAACACCTCACTAGTGGGACGAGGCCCCAGGGCATTTTTCTCTTCTCTTTTTCTTTTTCTTTTTCTTTTTCTTTTCTTTTTTTTTCTTTCTTTTTTCCGTTGTTTCAGTTGAGAAACAGTGTGTGGCGGCCGTTTCTTTTTAAAAAAACATATAAAGAATCCTTTTTTTTATTTTCAGAAATGCAAAGAAAACAAGGCCAACGCTATGCATCCACACTTCCACCAACCCGATACATCTGCATGTGACCTTCCCGCCGGCCTGTTTGCAGTCCCGCCGGCCTGTTTGCAGTCCCGCCGGCCTGTTTGCAGTCTTCCACGGAAATCTCAATATTCTCAATTTCTGCAAAAAAAATAGCAAGGCGCGAAGCTTCAAAAACAACCCCCCCCAAAAAAAAACATAGTCTTGAAGCTTCGCGCCAACGCAAAGTGGCCAACTAAATGGCCAACAAATGATTAAGAAAAAAATTCTACTGGCCGACAGGAAGCTGCATCCACGAAAACAAAGACAATCCACACTAGCAGTGGATACACAAAATGATCAACGACTCATGCATATCACAGACGGCGGCATGTGGTCGAAAACGGCGGAGCACAAGCGTAAATCGGATGTAGTGGGACAAGGCCCCTGGTGCAAATTAGGGCACACTCACACCACCACGTATTTTCGCAAAATCGCAAAATTTACGTAGTTTTTCAGGTCACAAGAGGCACGTATTTTGCATGTTCACACAAAAGGGCACGTAAATGTCAGCGGCCTGGACAGTTGCGGGCGTACATATTGGGTCTGGCTGCAGTACTCTCGAAATGTGCAAAACGAGAGTGAATCTGGCTGCACTACTCTCGAAATGTGCAAAATGAGAGTGAATCTTCCGCTAGAACATGGATAGATACACCGCCATGATTTTTGTCTCTTGTGCATGTCCAGAGTAGTGGAGCGAGGCCCATTTTGCGGGGACCTCCAGAGGTCCCCGCAAAATCATATTTATTTTTCCTTTACTGCTTTCCGGAAGCAAAAAAAAATAAAATTAAAGTGCATTGTGCTGTTTGACTGCACACAACATATTTTCGCATCTGAGGCCAGGTGGCAACCCTGTCCTTTCTGCTTTGGGCAAAAAATGGGTGAGCAGTGTGACCCGCAGGTGCCATATAAACGCAAATTCACATACGTAAAATTTGCAGAAGTACGTGCTAGTGTGAGCATGCCCTTAGACAGCAATCCAGCGGCCTAACTCAGTTGGTAAGGCACGCAAGTGGCATTCAGGAGGTCGTGGGTTCGATCCCCATTGGCCTCATGTACCTTCCTGGGCATGCTTGGGGCCCGCCACCTAGAGATAGGCCACTGGATCCCCCGATCGGCATTGAGCAGAGTTTGCTGATGTTCGTAGGGGAGGGGACCTGAGGGGAGGCACAGGGATTGGTCCTGTTGGCATGGTTCCTGATGCTACCGGCTGTCCCCTAGCCGGTATCGCCCACCTGCAGGTCGGGAGCAGCCCCCGCATGTCCTCTCATGAACAAGGCTCTGGCTGCTACGGGGTTCCCCGTATGCCTACAATTACAAGTAGTGGTAGGTAGGTAGTGTGAGGTGAAATTGAGAGAAGAACATAGCTTTAACAAAAAAAATAAAAATAAATTAGACAGCACTGTGGCAATCATTCACCTTCATATGGCTTTGGAGCAACGCAAAGCTGTCTTCTTGCACTTCGTTTTGTTGCGTGGAGTTCAAAACCCGACGCTTGGCGTTGCATAATACTAGTACTGAAGGCCCACTAGCAGAGAGGATTGGATTGAACAGCTGAACCAGGACGGGTGGGTTTGTGGAGAGCTGCAGAAAATCGCGATTGCTATGCTTTCCTGCAGAGCCCATCCACATTTGGGTGTCTAATCCAATCCGCTTTGCTAGTGGGACCTCGGCCTATACAGCAGCAGTACATCCCTTCAGCCGTCCTCTCCTACGTCTCTGCTCAAAACCCATCCACATTTGGGTGCCTAATCCAGTCCGTTTTGCTAGTGGGATGCTCGACTCGTGGTTAACGGGTGGTGCCATTTTCGGTGAATTTTTCACTGAAACTGCCATATTTCCCTGAATTTCTGCTTTTTTTTTTTTTTTTTTTTTTT